CATGCATGCAGGTAGGTAGGTAGGTAAAATTTCAAATACCCCCTAAACAACCCCCAACGTTGTCCTGCAGGGCCCTTGTCGTGCAGCCATGTTGAGGCCTATGGCACCTGAGCTGGGTGAGGGCTTCGAGTTTAAGACTAGAATTCGAAGGCCTTAATTATTTGGGTTTTGGGTTTCTGGAGGGTCTTTGGCTGTGCTTATATTTATCGACTAGAGCGAGGGAAATCTAGCAGCGGAGAGTGTACTCTCCGCTGTCCAAGGTTTAGTCTCTGAGGATACTAGGCCTAAACAGTAGAGCGAGGCTGGGGTACTTTTGTGTTCGCTCGGGCACCTGCGGGCTTGCTTTGTGATATTTGTGTTTTGGGGTCTAGCTAGTACCTGTAGGACTGTAGGCTTCATTCAGAGTTTTAAGTTGTTCAGGGGTTTTGGGTTTCTGCTGAGGGCTTCAAGGTTAACGTTGAGCCTTTAAAATTTTCGAGGTTGAGAATTGTGTCTTCGGTTGAGGAGTATATATATATATAGAGATAGTTGGATGCTTCAGGCTTGGGGTGGGGCTTCAGTTCATACCCGAATTTCTGACTTGAAGACTCGAATAGACATGGTATACGAGTTTAGGTCAAGTAAGGACCTGAACCCATAAATCCCGATCCTAGTGGACCCATCACACTTACAACCTTAAACCACAAAGCCCGAAGCAACACCACCGGTGCACGGAATCGCACGATCGCGATCGCTCAGCGTGAGCCCAGAATCGACACCATGGACACCGGACCCGACGGAGGTCATGAGAAAGAAACGATGGGACGACAGATGTCTATTGGTGCCAGAAGTCAATATGGCGATGGTGGGAGAAGTCAAGGATCATGAGCAAATGTGAAGACTTGGAACCGGCCTATCTCTTGGCCACATTGCGATCGCGCCCGCATCACTCTTGAATGGCCAAATTAATTTCCGAAATGCAACACCCCTAAACTCACTAAACCCTAATAAAGTCCGAAACCCCAAATTCCCTAAGTCCCTAAATCCCTCGGCCCCTAATAAGGCCTTTGAGTGTACTCCAGATTCCATAAGCCCCAAAAGCGTACACATCCCTAAACCTTTATATTATAATATGCTTCGTCGTCAGTAGTGCATCTAGAATCGATATTAATGTAGTCAAGATGCCCTCACCCAACCGGCAACGACTTGGGCTAACTCCCAAGCACGTGCCCAGCCACCGTGCTTGCGCTGGGACACAGTGGAGCCTTTCGGATTCTTGTTGTTGATCTTGATGCCCTGGTATTCCACCATGGATCTGATGACATAGAGCTGATTCTCGTGCCACCTCTAGTACCGGCATCCCTCATCAATAAGAGTACGTTGAAAAAAATAAACTTAGAGATAAACCCGGCCCCGAATTAAAACCCAACCCTGAGTAGTCAAACTCCTACACCCTAGATAGATCTACTCTAGACCGAAGCCAAGACACAGAACCTGAATTCCCGCAAGGTTTTCCTTATAGGGGGGGTTCACGGCATGGCTCGGCGGAATGGTAAAGCTTTTGGTCTGTCCGTGAAACGTTGCCGGGATGGGTATGCCAGCCTCCTTTAGCTCCAGTGCCTGCGAACATCCGAAGCAAATCTGCAAAGCAACATTAATTAACCGGTGTGTCACACAAGCCTGGCCTTCGTCTGCCACTGGGCTGCGTATGGGCTGTCTTCCGGGGTCGACTTGGATGCCTTTTTTCCCCTGACTGGCTTCTTAGGCTTTGTGGTTTCGTTGTTGTCCGACTCCTGTTCCTCTACTGTGCTTGGCTCTTGCTCCTTTGGCGCCTGTTCGCTGCTTGGCTCCTGCTCCTTTGGGACCTGTTCGCTGCTTGGCTCCTGCTCCTTCGGGGCCTGTTCGTTGCTTGGCTCTTGCTCCATTGGGGCCTGTTCGCTGCTTGGCTCTTGCTCCTTGGGTTCTTGCTGGCGGCGGCCCCGACCCCTTCCCCGACCTCGGCCCTTGGCCTTTGCTGCTGGCTTGTCCTGCTTGGTTTCGGCATCCTTGGCCAGTACTTTGGCTGCTGCCTGGATCCTCGTCTTCTCTCTCACCTGCTGAATCACAAATTCAAGCTGTACTGCAGGGCTGAAAACCAAGCTATTTAGTATTACGACCCGAGTTGACTCGTAGGGTTTAGGGTTTTAGGTTTTTAGGGTTTAGGGTTTATAGGGTTTAGGGTTTAGGGTTTTAGGGTTGAATGCATGGGGCACCTGGCGCTGAGCCTGCACCAGGTCGTCATCTGGGCCCTGTGCGGACAAGTTCGGCTGGATTTGCGCAGCCAGGCCGGGGAGCAAATCGCTGGGGAGTTCGGGCTGCACAGCTTCGATAGGAGGCCGCATAGCCTGCACGATGCCAGCACAACTACAATAAAGCTTTCGGGCTAGTACCTCTAGATGTCGACTGCTGGCCTTGTCTGCCTGTCTGTTGTTCCGATTCTTGGGTTCTGCAGGCTCAGCTTGAAAGCTCTCCCAATACAGCGGCTGTGTTTCCATCTGTGACGGGTCGATCACCTCAGCTGTATAATAGAGAGAGAGATTTCGATATTTAGCTGCTGCTGAGGTTCCTTTTTTCCAGCATTTGGAATCGGCAAGGGCATCGGCTCCTGTAGTGCGGAGCTTTGACAGTTTTGGAGGGTTTCGGGTGAAGAAGAGCTAGCATCGCAAATAAGAACATCAATTGGCATCGACATGCATCGCTAGATCTAGCTCGTATTAGCTAATGTCCTCGGGTGCATCACTGTCACCCACCATATCCACATCCATGTCGGTCTCGGAAGCCGGCAAGGAACTGCATGGGGAGTTTGGGTCCTGCAGACGTAAGTATAGAAGTACTCAGAATCGAACGTACTAAGTCTCGCTTCGGGGGCCTGCTGCATTGCCTCGTTCAGGCTGTCGTCAATGACCTGGTCCACATCTTTGCCTGAGAGGGTTTAGGGGTTAGGGTGTATGGGTTTGGGGGTGGTTTAGGCCCATAGGCTCCAAAGTAGTTTTGTGGTTTATATTTAGGATGCTGTATATATATATATAACCTCAAAAGAGGAACTACTTTGGAGCCTATGGGAGGAGTATAGGGTTTAGGGGTTAGGTTTTGGGCCGTTTAGGGGTTTAGGGTTTAAGGATGCGGGGTAGGGGTTAGGGTTTGGGGTTTGGGCTTTGGGGTTTAGGGGTTTAGGGGTCAGGGTTAAGGGTTTAGGGGTTTAGGGGTTTAGGGTTTAGGTGTTGCGGGTTACTACTCTAAACCCCTATCCCCTAAACCCTCTAAACCCCTAAACCCCTAAACGTTTAGGGGTTTAGGGATTTAAGCTTTATAGGGTTTAGGGGATAGGGGTTTAGGGTATTTCGGGGTGGGAAGATCTAAGATAAAATCTGATCGAGCAGAGGTCATGTCCGAGGCTTCGGAAATTGACTTTGAAGCCTCGAAAGCCCTAAACTATCCATTTACATATACAAATTTTAAACCCGTTACACCTCGACTTCCCAGCCCCGGGAACTCTCTTTCAACATAATAAATCTAATACATATGATATCTAGCTGTGGAAGCACAATATATATATATATACATATATCTATAATGACCTCTAGTACTACCCTCTATAATTTACATTTGGCCCTGCTGTAAACCCTAGACAAGCTCGGCCTCCACCGGCTCCTTCGAAGCAAGCACGCACGATCTCCTTGATCATGCCCACTTGGGGCCGCCTCAACACTCGAGAGTACTACTAGTACAATAAACTTAATTCTGCAGGGCTCGCCGAAGCTTCGTATATAGTGCAGCACAGCTACCGGCTACCGTTGGAGCGACGTGTCAAAAGAAGTGCATGGATTGCCATAGCCCGCATAGTGCCAGCCTCTGTCGAAGCCCAGTCCTTCCGATCGGGTCTAGTCCTAGCTAGCGCTAGCGGAATGACGATATACGTGGTGATGTCCTTGAGCACTTTGCGCTTGGTTCCCGCTGGGAACATTGCATACCGGTGGCACAGGACTTGGAGCACCGCCTGCATCACATGCGATCGAGTTTTAATTTAAAATATATCTCGATCTAGCACTCCGGAGGCCTTGTGCGTTCTAAACTTCGGAACATGAGCTTGGCAAGTAGCGATATATCCAGCCAGGAAGGAAAAGTACCGCTCAACCTCACAAGTTTTCAAATCAACTCCGAGCGAAATGTGAACCTAGCTTTAAAGCATCGCCACAATTAATGCAGCAGAACACCATAGTCACACTGTCAGGTCCCTCATCTGGAACCTTGAACAGGCTTTTGGCCTTGGTTTGACCGGATCCGGAGGGATAACAAATAAGCTTCACAAAACTTAAGGATTCAAGCTAGCTGCCTTGCTCTCTCGAATACCCGGCAGCCTCTCCGGATCTTCCGTAAGCCAGGTATTCAAAAAGTCCTGAGTTCGCATTCTCGCTAGACGACGGCTCTAGCAATTGTAGTACAGCTTGCTGACTAGACTCTTCCAGCAAAAACTGATGCTCCTGATCTGCTGCCGTTGTCGGCATCAGTCCTGAGCACGTATACAGCATTATTACAGTATAGTGTGTGCGTGGGCTGGTGATGGTGATATTGCGAGTCGAGCTTCGGGAAGTGGGGCTGCATCCACAAGCCACGCACAATAAACAGAAAATGCTGCGATATATGACAGGCGCACGTGCATGTGACCGCTCGGAAAGATCTCTTGCAAGATTATTAAATGCACCTGCAAGCACCACCTGCTTCGAAGGCGACGGGGAACGATCATCAGATGCTCGCAGAGCCTCGAGTCGACCTGAAGCCCAACATTATTTTTAGCTATAGGCTATATTCGTAGCTAGCACACAGCGATCATTCAACAACTCAGTATATGGGGGTTTCCGAAAATTATAGGGGACCCTATATAATATATATATATAATATGTATACCCTAAATAGTTATTATATATATATATAATATAAGGACCACCAAAATTCCTAATTTTCGGAAAGCCCCATATAAGCACCCTAGATTTTCAATGAATCCGCTCTGACCAAATATCAATGATCAAGCGGAACTATTCTTAAGCAAGCTTGAGCCGGCTATACCACAGTGAAGCCTGCTTTCACTGTGCCACTTCCGGGGCGTCTTGACCCACATGCCTGCGATTCCCAGGAAATGGAGGGCAATTTAATGGAAATCATGGCTTGTTCTACCAACGCTCACAAAAAACATGGTCATAGCCAATGATCACAAATTTCGCTGACATTGCAATGTTGGCAAATTTTGCTGACATGGATCCCCGGGGAGACTTACAGCTATAATATATAATATGATGATAAATGGGGTTTTTAGAGGTTCCAACCATCTCCCGGTAGTACTCTTTTGCCCCTTTCATCGTCGCATCTCCTCTTCAGACCGAATGTTAGGAAAAAGGCCACCCTTCTGATTCAGAGGGCTACTGAGGCTACTGAGGAAGCTGGGTTTAGGAACTTCCGAAGTTGAGGTCGAGACCTTTCCTTAAACAGTCTGAGGCTTCGAAGCTTGGGGGGTTTAGCGGCTTCGAGGCTTAGGGTTTTGTGGTCTCGGTTTCCAGGGCTTCGAGGATTTTTGGTCACTCTGTGGCGAGTTTGGCTGGGTTTTGGTGCCTTCGGGGAAAGCATGACATTCATCGAGGTGATGTGCATCGCAAGTAATACACTGCCTGGACATTGATCCTCCAACTTGGAAAAGACTCCCCCAAAAAAACCCTAAACCCTAATAAACCCTAAACCCCAAGACTTCCAAGGTATCTGCCGTGCCCAAGTCCAAGGCGGTGTCCCCGACCTCCGCTGCCGCCGTCATGGAGGCGCGGCTGGCCAGGGCACGTGGGGTCTCAGCCAGTGGTCTCTGGAGTTTTAGGGCTCCGGGTTTCAGGGCTTCGTCTTCGCCACTAGGGCCCAAGGAGGCTAAAAGAGACGGAGGGGCTTGCATCTTCATTAGCATCTGCAGCAGAAACTTCTCAACGCAGCTTGGATTCTGAGGGTTTACGATCTTCTCCAGGTTCAGGGTGCCTGCTCCCTGAACCTTGTCACAGCTTCATCTCATTCGGGTCTGGCTTTTTTGCTCTGGCATTGGGTTCTGTTGTAGAGGAGTTATAAGCTGATGCTCCAAGTACCTTTCTCTCTGTCGCAGCCTTGCAGCGCCACATGCTGGCGGCAGAAGCGGCGTGTTTATCCGGAAGCCTCTATAAACCAGGAAGCACGGCTCTCCTGCGCCAGCTGCAAGGGCCCTTTGAACTGCTTCAAAGCCGAGCTGGAAACTCTGAAGCCCGGAGGGGACGAAGCCTTAAAATCTCTAGGCTCGGAATTCTAGATCCTCAAACCGCCTCAACCGTGAAACGTCCGCAAACACGTGAAACGCTGGAGCCCATGGTGTCAGGAAGGAAAGAAGCCCGCAACGGCGGCTGAGCGCATGGTGGCAACTGGCTCTGTCCTGGCACGAGGACACGGATGGGGTTCCGGCAGTTTCAGTTGAGGGTCGTTGTTACAGTTGTTATTCTCGTGGTTGTTAAAGTGCGTGCTATGCTTGCTACAGGTGTGGCTGGTCCTCTTAGAACCTTTAGCCATTTTGCCCGTCCGCCCATTCATCAGCTTGTGCTCCCTCGAAGCCGTGAGGACCTCCAGGCCCAAAAGCCATGGATCCAGAATCCCAGAGTTTTGGATCCACCCCGCCCCAGGCTCATTTAGGGATGTAGGGCTTAGGGCCTATAGGGATTTGGGGTTGGTTGAGGGTTGCCTGAATCCTCTCCCAGCTGCTTGATTTCCTGAGTCCCCTTCACACCCTCATACCCTTCCCAACCTTTTGGACCACTAACCCCTCCTGAAACCATCCTAAGCCCTATCATAAACCCTGCTCAACCTCTTCCTACGCCTTCCTAAACACCCCCTTTGTCTCTTGGGAATCTCCAGGCATGGGAGCCAAGGCAGAGGCCCCCAAGGCCTGGAGAGACCGAGCTTTGGGTTCCTTTCCGGGGTTACTGTAAGGGGATTAGGGCTTTAGCGGTTTAGGGGATTTAGGGGTTTAGGGGGGTTAGGGGTTTAGGGTTCCTTTCCGGGGTTACTTTAAGGCTGAGGGGTTTGGGGGTTTTGGGTTTAGGGTTTAGGGGTTTAGGGTTCCTTTCCGGGGTTGCTTTAAGGGTTAGGGGTTTAGGGGTTTAGGAGTGTAGGGGTTTAGGGTTCCTTTCCGGGGTGACTTTAAGGATTAGGGGTTTAGGGGTTTAGGGGCTTAAGGGTTTAGGGGTTTAGGGTTCCTTTCCGGGTTACTTTAGGGATTAGGGATTTAGGGTTTAGGGGTTTAGGGGTTTAGGGGTTGAGGGGTTTAGGGTTCCTTTCAGGATTACTTTAAGGATGAGGGTTTAGGGTTGAGGGTTACTTTCAGGGTTAGTTTAAGAATCACTTTCAGGGTTCCTTAAATTACTAAAGGGTTACCTTCGAGGTTCTACAAGGGCTCTATGTAGAGTTACTGGTTTCTACAAGGGTTGCCATCGGGGGGTTCCTAAGTTCCTAAGTTCCTAAGAAGGGTTCTCTAAAGGCTTCTTTAAAAGGTTCCTTGCAGGGCTGATTAAAAAGCGTAGATAAAGCTCCGATAGTAGGGTGTGGGATTTAGGGTTCCATCCGTGTTACAATTTACGAGTTTCCATTTATATAAGGGTTAAAAACATTAACAGGTTTCAAAAGCACACTGCAAGGGATACGATAATTGTTCTCAAGAGTTTTTTTAAGGGTTTTCTACCCCTATAGACCTTATAGCCTTGATGAGTGTTCTCAAGGGTTGTCTAATTGTATTCTACCCCTATAGAGCCCTTTTAGAACCCTTATCAAAAGCGCGACTGTTTTGCTTTGGAGGCGAAGGCAAAGCCGGCCGCGGCCATGCCGACCACCTCGAAGTACGCCGGCGCCGCGACCATGACCCAGGCCGCCCCCAGGACCGTGTCTTGGCCCGTTTGGGGGTTCAGGGTTTCGGGTTTGGGGTTTGGGATTTATAAGGGCCGCCGGGTTTAAGGCTCGCCTTCGGCGATTCGGGAAGTGTGGCATCTGCAGTTTTGCTTCCTTGCAGCTTTCACTCGTGGAGCGTTTTGACTGCTCAGGTGCTGAACATCGTCAGCGGCAAGCCGGTCGCGGCGGGCGAGGTCGCCAGCAGCGCCTACACCACCAGCTCCGTTGGCCCTGCCAGGGGCTACGCCAAGGCCTGGACTGTGCTTTTGTCCGGTGGGGAGGCGTCGTGGTCAGACTTCATCGCATCTTTGCTTGAGGCAGCCGGCGCCGTTCTGCCCAGCAGCGCCCCAAAGGTTCGCGCTTCATGTGGATTCGTGTCATTTCTGCCGGTAAACGCGTTGATCGGCAGATCGGGCCACCGGCGGTGGCTGTGGGACGTGCCATGGCTGAGGCGCGACACGACAGTTGCAAATTCTTCGGCCCAGAAGTGCGCGCTGCGTGTCTTGGAGTTTTCTCCTGGCATCAGGGACGCCCTGCTGTGTCTATGGCTAATGGCAAGATGGTCACCACTATCAGCAAGAAGTACCAGCACCTCGGCGAGCGGGCTGGCGCATGCACCGTGTGTCATAGCTAGGTGCCTAAAGAATAGTTTGTGACTGTTCGGTGTCAGCAGAAAGATTGTCAGGATCGTGTTCGTGACCAGCGAAGTGGCACCGTTCTCGAAGACTGGAGGCTCTCCTTCTGTGGTGCCCTCGACCCACATCTTCGCAGCCTGCGTGCTTTCAGGCCTGGGTGAGGCCATGGACGGCCTGCCCATTGCGCTCGCGGCCTTGGGCCACCGCTGCATGGTCATCTCTCCCCGCTCCTCGGCCTAGAAAGCACGATCCGAGGGCGAGGGAACGCGAGCGTACCCCCTGTCACCCTCTGAACATGTGCTGAGCTCGCTGGTCGCCTTGGCGTGCTCAGGCTACGACCAGTACAAGGAGGCCTGGGACACGGGCTACTGGAGCTCCGTGCCTATGGGCGGCAAGAACGAGTCCGTGCACTTCTTCCACACCTACAAGCAGAAGGCCCCTGTTTCTTTTCATCCCAGCCTCAGCAGCATAGCATGGCACGCTTGTGCCTGCAGGTCGACTACGTCTTCGTCGATCACCCCACCTTCCTGGAGCGTGTCAACGGACTGACAGGCCCAGGGGAAGTGGGGAGTTTGCACCCGCGCACTGCGGTCCCAGCAAGCGTCAAAGCAGTGCAGCCGCCCTCTTACGGGCGGCATCATCCATGTGCACATGCGTCATTATCTGAGCTTTATTTCCCAGGTGCCAAGCTGTACGGCCCGGAGTGGGGTCAGGACACGCCTTCTCGATGCATCGTTGGTTCATTGTCGCGAAAGACGGGCAACCATGTGAAGCCTTGCCTCCCAGACCTGGAAGCCCTGAATCCACACCCCCCAGCCCCAAAGCTTCATTCTTTGGCCCTAGCCCCAAACCCTGAAACCAGCGTACAACCCCTGCAGGACTTCGCAGACAACCAGGCTCGCTTCGCCTACTTCTGCAAGGCCAGCAGCAGCCGAAGCCGCAGCTTCCCAAGTGTAAATGTTGAACAGCATTAGCAATCTGCACCAGTCCCGGGACCGATTTAGTATTGTAGTTGTAGCAGTGGATTGTGGCATATTGTGGCATAAAGGTAACACAGCGCAAACAACAACGATGACCCATGATCATAAGGATAGTAGTCAGAGGACCACCATAAGAAATCGCAAAAAAACCCAAACCCCAAACCTACTCCTGGAGAAACACTAAAGCCGCAAATCTGGAAATCCGAGCTCCCTAAACCCTGCAGCCCTTAACCCTGAACCCTTGCTCCTTAGGGCTCCGAATTTTCTTGGTATCTGTAGTTTGCAACCCAGTTTCAAAGTTTTAGTCTCATGGTAAGGGCCCTTGGGGAGACAGCCTTTCCTGGCGCAGGCGGCCTTGAAGGCTTACCCAACACCCTAAACCTTAAACTCTGAGCCCCAAAACCTAAATCCCAAACCTCAAACCTTAAACCCGAAACCTTAAACCCTACACCTGAAACCCTATAAACCCTAAACCCTAAACCCTACTTCGCAGAGGCCGCCTTGAAGGCCATTCAGGAGCTGCCTTTGGGCGGGGCCGTGCTCGGGCCTCGGTTCCCAAAGTGTCCGCGGCGTTCCGCGGAGACTTCGTAGGGTTCGTTTCGGGTGGTGCAGGGTTTGTAGGATATAGGGGCCTGAATGAAGACTTTCCAACAGAATTTTTTTTGGGGGTTCCTTAAGACAACTACTTCTGGCATAATATATCCGAAAACCCCATTCCAGTGATTAAGGCCTCTATATTAGCCTGTCTTGAAGGGGTTTCCAGAAGGTGTCGGGCCGATTTGGGAGATCACAGACTTTCTGGTATGAGATTTCGTAAGAAAGGTTATGAGCAAGGTGATTGTGGTCTCAGACGCTTCCACACCGGGTGTGGAGGTGCTTCTAACATCGTCTAACCCTAGGTATAGCAACGCAGGAATCACGAGCACCTGCTAATCTCCTGGGGTGGGGTTTGGGGCTTTTCGGCTTCCCTGGGAATTGAAGATTAGGGGGGGCTCGGGCCCGGCTGCACAGTTGCGAGGCTTCCTCCAGCTCTTGGTTTGGCTTAGAGTCGCGGGAATTGGCATTGAGAGTGTGGGTCTTAAGGATTCTTCGGGATGGAGCATATCATAAACCCCCCCAAAACCCAGAACCTCTTCCCGAAGCTCTACTTGCTGCCTTTCTCCAGCTACGCCCCGGGCCGAAAACTCGAGGTACGGCGGTGACTGCATGGTCGTCTGCAACGACTGGCACTCGGCCCTTGTGCCGATGCTCATCCACGCCGAGAAGCCAACAGGTCCGGATCCGAGATAAGACCGGCTTTGCAGTGTTACTTCGGGTTTTTCTTCAATTTAGTTTTCGGTGGGTATAGGCGGGTTTGATCCTCAGATCGGACGACAACCCCAAACTCTGAACTGCAACACGCTCCCGCTAGAGCATCAAGTCCTTAACACACAATTCCTCCCGAGTTTTCGCAGGCAACTGGACGAACACAAAGTCCGCGTTCCTCTGCCACAACGCGGTCTTCCAGGGCCGCTTCGTGCGCGAGGAAGGCGCCCGAGGATCGTTAGTTTTAAGTTCAGCAATGTAGTAAGATCAACAACGATAGTAAGTAGTAGTAATCCTCGAACTACAAAAACCCCAACGTGAAAGCGCAAAGTGCCATAAATTCCTCGAAATCGTGCATCCCTGAACACCACTCAAGAATCATAAAACAACCCTACATCCTGTTAAGACAACGAAAGATGCTCCGCTTGATAACCTCTCTGACGAGGCCTTGCCAGCGTTTTTGGTGTACCGGAGCGCTACATCGACAGCATCTGGGCTCTTGTCAAGCAGTTTGTTTTATAATCTAGTAGGTCGTAAGGCTTCCTTATCGTGACAACTCAAAACATCTGGTTTCCTTATTTTGTAACCTAAAGTAGAAAGTAAATCGTATGGTTTCGTTATTCCGGTAATGTGAAGGATGGTACATAATCTGGGCTTTTCCTTATGACGGTAACTTAAACTCAGTCCTTAAAAAAGCTGTCCTAGGCATCACCTTCAAGATGCCTCTGCGCATCGGAAAGTACAACGAGAAGGTGCTGGGTCAGTGGAACATCCCAAGAAGCGTGTAGGCGTACGATTTTGGCAGGGGATGGACGGATTTTAGTGATTTGGGACTTAAGGCTCATGGTTCAGAGGTTTGTAGAGTCGAGGTTTTTCGGAGTGTAGGGGTACAAAAAACACGCGAATACAAGGATCCTATTGATGTGGGTAGCTCTCTGAATTAGGGTCCCTTGAATGCTCCTATGACACTGCCGTGCTATTTTGGGCATCTAATAAGGGAACCGAAGTTAACAACACTACCCATAGAGAACCCTTATAGATCACTTATAGAAACCCTACTAGAAATCCTTATAGACGCCTTTAAGGAATCTCACAGGAACTACCCATGTGGTTGCACAGAGTACAGGACAGGCACAGGTTGGCCCCTGTGGCAGTTACCCACCTGCTGTAGCTACCTGTCGCGGCCGTAGATATACGGTGTATAAGTGCAGTATAGTATCCTATGACATACTATACTACAATTACTACAATGAATTGGTAGTGTTCTTTATTACTACTAAGTACGATCGCAAGATTTATGCGTTCAGCTTGGCTCCGAAAATCCTAAACCCTGAGCCTGCGGCAGAAATCCTGCATCAACACGATGGCTGCCGGCCTGCGCTACGCCGACCGGGCCTGCGTCTCAGGTATTATAATCTGGCAACTGCGAGGCATGGCTGCAACATGCGACAGAAGCCGCACGTTTGGTATTTAGGATGCGTTTTCCTCGTCGGGTCTTGAAGCCCCAAGTCTTAACCCATATATGGCTCCCTCGTAGTAATGCTCAGGCTTTGACCGTCTCTCCCAGCTATGCTGTGGAGTGCTGCACGGACCCGGAGAAGGCTCGGCAAGTAGAAGGGCTGCTGGAAGGGTTCGTTTAAGTAATACTGCCAAGGCGACTGTAACGATTTCACAAGGTTAAGGGATTATAGGGCTTGTGGGGCGCAAGCCTGGCAGACAGACCAGTGGAACAGCCCAGCCCTGGCACAGGGTGTTGAGTTGGAGGACCTCTTCACCCTGGGCAAGTGCACAGGACACTTGCAATCTCAACTTCAAGTCTGAATAGCACATGTTTGATTCAGTCAGTCGCCAGAGGTGTGTCATGTGAGTTGTCATGAAGATGTTTGCTGACCCCACGCTATGCGGCGTTCCGTGCCTGAACCCCTTTGCCTCCGCAGCTGTGTAGCGTTGGTCTCAGCCCTCCCTTCAGCGCTGCCGGTTCGGTGTCTTCTTGCGGCCCTGGCCCTAAACCCTAAAGCCTCAAAGATTGGGCATCCGAAGCTCTCTGCAGCTCTCCTTTTGGCCCACGACAAACAAGCTTTGAACTATAGTTGATGTACTTCGCAAGACTGCGGTTCCATGGTGGCCCTTTAGAACCCTCAACCTAACCCTAAGGCCCCAATGCCCTAAACATCTTTGGAGTGCATGTCCGTAAAGGCTGAGCAGGCGAGTGATCGGAAAGTCCCATGCACTTTATAACAGAAGCACTACACGCCAAGTCGCCTTGCGCAGGAATCCTGAACGGCGTCAAGGAGGGCGTGTCCCCCAGCGACAAGAACTTCGTCACGAAGACCATGATGACCTGCGGAGCCTTCACGGTCTGCATCTGAGAGATCAGCAGACCTCGGGAGCCCCAGGGCTTTGCTTTGGGTTTGACAACGGGGGCTTTTTGAATACCTTTAAGGGCTTGAAAGGGTTTTTTTTTGCAAGGCTTTTCAGAGTTTCTATTGGTTTAAGTCCTGAGTCCAAAGTGGGATCCTGGTGTTTACTGCAGGGCTGTACAAAGCCTTCGGTATGCTCACAGAGACCCTAGGAAAGCTCCGGCACCAGAAGGGCCTGCAAGCACCGGCAAGGCCTCACACCAGAAACTCCACACTTCAAGTCCTGTACGGAGGCCATGATCGATGGATCTGCAAACATCATCAGCAGATGAAAGCATATGCTCCGCTATCCTTGCAGCCTTACACACCCAAAACCTCAGAACCCCAACTAAATCCCGACAAAATCCCATAAAAAAACAAGCCAAACCCTAAACCCGAATCCCTACAAGCCCTGATATAAACACCCTCCCTCTCTCTCTCTCTCTATATATATATATATAAATATATAAATATAAA